CAGGGCACTATGAAGTCTCAACCTGCGAAGGTGAATGTTGGCTGGGCCAGAGTCCACCTGAGAGGTTCAGTGCTAAGGCAAGGGATCACCCCACTTATGTTAAACTGTCTAAATTGATCTGGAAGGCCAGCCAGTGACTGACTGTGTGACAGTGGTGGGAATCCCCAATCTTTGGAGTGCAAGATTGGTGTCTGCTTTGGCAGTCTCCATTTGTGGGCCGATGCTGACCTTGCACCCATCTATGGCTCCAACAGCATCTCCTTAGGGGAGGATGAACTCCTGTGGCTTCCCTTTGCAGAGTCAGGTCCGGCTTTGAGGTTCGCTCAGGAGCCGGCTTTTTGCGCCGGGCTCCCAGCTGGCATTCCCTCTCTGCGGCCTCAGCAGCTTCCACCATGGCTTAGGCCCAACAGGATCCGGTTGAGCTGCTGATGGACTCGGATAGTGAGGAACCATATGAGTCTGCCAGGGAAGATGTGGAGGACTTGGGAAGGCAAGTAGATGGTCTCAACATAGATCGCCGGGCCGTCATCTACGGCTCCCTCCGTGGACTTCTTCTCTTCCTCCATTTTTCCAGAGTCTTTGCATTGCCCGGGTTTTGGTTCATGCTGGGGCTCAGGACCCCAGACAGCACCCTGAGGTTCGAGGTAGCTGGTGAGGTATTTTAAAGAAGATTTGGGTTATTAATGTCAGGATTTTAAATAGTATCCAAAAGTAAATCAGAGTCTGAGGCAAAGGATTCCTCAAAGTTCCAATTTATTAAGAGAGCCATGTTGGCACATCTGGGAAAACCCAAATCTGAACGCTACCAGTTTTCTCAACAATTAGTGATTGGATTAATGTAACAGAGGACAAAATATTGAATATTGAGGGATATGATTTGGTATATGGTTGGCATGCTTATTTAGTACATAATAAGAAGGTGGACAGGATTTTTAAAAGCCACATATTAAGAAATGCTCTATTGCGTGTCTGGAAAAAATATCAATATAAATTAAAGATGGCTTTCAGACCTGACAGTAGCAACATCAGAAAAAAAAACAATACACAATCACAGAAAATACACATATCATTAAATGCATAAAATATCAAAGAGATTAAATCTTACCACACATTATCAATGAAAGGGAAGCAGGAGCACTTTGCAGGCTTTTCAAATTCTCTGCATGCTATGTTTTCCACAAAAAATGAGGCTTGCAGAGGGTTTGGGATGGCTGCAGAGTGCCTCTTCAAAATCTTCAAAGTCTTATACTCCAGTGCATCTTATACTCTGAAAAATATGGTAAATAGTTTATCTCAAAATTATAACCAAAAAGGAAAAGGTAACCACACATCTTTGCCCTTGGACCTTCAGGGTTTTGGGGAAACAAGCAGGTCACCTGTTTCCCCTGAAAGATTAAAAGGGGAGGGGCTGCTGAACCCTCAGGGGGAACTCTTCCATTGGGGCAGGGGCTGTAACAGAAACGTCACACTTCCGAGGACCCACAAGGGGCCAAAACTTAAGGGGAGAGACCTGGACTGTGCCCACCCTATCTCCTCTGGAGGGATCATGGGTCTCTCAAATAAGGAGGGCTGCCCTGCTTTGTCTCTGCATGGATGGGATGAGAGACCACCAAGAACAATCAGAACGGGAGGCTGACTATTTCAGCACCTGGAAAGAAGTGCAATCCATATCCTGCCCTTCTGTTAAGGAAACCATATTTGGGTTGAGAGTGGTTGCCTTCCCCCCAAAAGAGGGTTTGCTTTTAGTGGAGAAAAGAAAAGTAACAGAAGGAGATTGCACTCTCCCGGGCCTCTGTCCAAGGGTTCATTTGGGTCTGATGGGATTAGGCAAAAAGATGGCCTGGATTTGACCTTTGCCATGTCCAAAAAAATGAGGGCAAAGGCTCTTCTAATATTCCCCAGGTCCCATTCACACCTATGGCAAAATCCCACTGAATCCATGGTTGCTCAGCTTGGCTGAGAGTTGCAAAGTTACCAGGGAAAGGGATAAATCCCCAAATACACACACACACACACTCACAAACACACACACAAACAGCAACATCCAGGTATGATTCAGAAACCACACCCAAATCCAAACTAAGATGCAAGTCTGAGAAGTAGGTCTGAAGTCCAAATGGAGGTCAGATGAAGTACAGATTGGAAGTGAAATGTACATTAGTCATGGAGTTAAAGGGAAGTGTGATTATTTCTAACACTGAATTTTTGAAATATTGGACCAAGTAGGCTGGTACGTGCTGGTATCACTCATTAGGAGGAAAGAGGCTAATTGCAATAGAGTAGCCTCACCAACTTCCATTCTACGGTGAAAGAGGCAGTTTCTACTCATCCTTCTTCATCCACTGCAGCTTCAATCCTTCTCTATCCTGGGCTTCTGTCTGAGTCTATGAGTCCTCCAACTGCAGCTGAGTCTCTCCGCTTTCCTCTCCAGCCAAGTGCTCATCCGCTCGTTCCTCTAAAGACCCCACTGAGGTTCCTGGGCTCACTTCTTCCTCCATCCCCTCCATTCCTGGCTTCGGGGCATCAGCATCTTTCAAAGGTTTCCCGCATAGTGAAATCTCCAGAGCTGACGTTTCCTTGTTGTTTGAATAGACATCTGGGGAAGCATTCAGCGATGTTTCCTC